CATATTTTAGAAAATTATTTTTCATATTATTATTATTGTAATTTTTTGATGATAACGATATTTCGTTAAATACATTTTAATAATATGCAACATGCTTGTTACCTGCAATACATGCTAAATCATGCGATTTCCTGGTATATTTTGCTCGTTGTGTTTGGAAAATTCATTAAAATACTGTTTTGCCCTACATTGTAATACATTGCTCATAATAAATTGGGAATATCGAATTTACTGGTAACAGTAGTTACTTAAATTATATATAAAAAAATTAAAACAAATAGTTATTTGATTAAATTAAAAACTTTAAAAAAATTCAGTTTTCTGTTCATTTAGTTTGTATAGACAGATATGCGTTGTTTACGTATTTTTATAAACTTATTGCAAGTTATGAAACTATTGCTTACTTTTTTGTTAGCATTATTTCAAAATTGCAAGTTTATATATACTATATTTATACAATAGATTTTATAAAAAAAATCTCTCAATATTATTTCGTGAATTATTCTAAGTATCGTATCAAGTTATTTCGTCTATAAAATTTATATGGATTATTGGCTTATCAAAATAATTTTAGTAGGTATTCCTACATTTAATAATCGTTAGTTCAGTTTTAACTTATAAGATTTTTTTACTATTATATTATTACAACGATATTTATTAAGTGAGGTGTTGTTGTAACAAAATCAAAGTAGGTACTGTAAAATGGGGCATGTAATATGGGCTTTGAGTTGAATCGGTACAAAAACCTATTTTTTCAATTCTAGATTTCATCATTACCTTTACTGAAACATTTTCATAGAATTTATATTTAATGAAATATCATATTACTAGTTTCATATTTAATTAATAACCTCAAACATTTTTTTAATGTTTTACAATTTGCAAAATTTGAAAAAAATTTTATGGCTAGGCACTATTCGTAAGAACGAACTTGAAATATATTTCACAGGCATAATTATTTAATATTTTAATTGTGTAATAATAGTAAAAATACAATTAATACACTTATAAAATTGACATTCTTAGAACTGAAAAGCAAATTTTTATTTTATAGCAATTAAAAAAAATCATGTTTCAATTTAATAGCATGATTTGGGTCAAAGCAAATTTTTCTTATTTATTTGCACAAACTGAGAAATGTCAAATTTTATAGCATCAACTAATAAAATGGCGTAACAATTACAATTTTATGTTCATACAATTATAAAAAAAAAGATCGAATAAGCACAATAAATTATGTTTGTTTTCAGTAGAAATGGCTCGTAAATAATTCATACTGGTATATTCACACGAATTGTTGCATCAGAACAAAAATTATTTCTTTTTAATTTAATTCAAGTTACTTATCGTATTTAAGTACCTAAATTGGTAATTATTTGTATTTTATATAATATATATATTATATACTTGTAATTTAAAGAGCTGTATAGCTAGGTTATTATTATTTTGTTATAAAGGTAGTTCCTACAGAGATAATTTTAAATTGTTTATTTATTTCTTCAATTAAATAAATGTATTTATAATGAAAAATGTGTAGTAATCACTACACATTGCAATGTACAAATCATATAGAAAAAAATGACCATTAATATTATTTAAAAACTACAGTACCTGCTATTATAAATAATTATTGTTGTAAACAATATTATAAATTTAGATTATATGACACTACAGTATAGTAATTAGAACCACGTTCCTAGAAACCATTTATTATTAACTATTATTATATTTTTTCAGATATAAAATAATTTGACTAAATAATGTTATATTTATATTATTTAAATTAAATTACAAAATAAAAATTCAAATGTTTCATTTACCTATTGAAAATTCATATTTACTTTTGATCTTTAAACATGATTTTGTAGTATAAATTATAATTAAAAAATAAAAATACTATGAAAATTATATTATACATAGAGAATGGTAATATTTAAGTTAAGTTATTTGTCTTTGAATTACAACAAAATAAGAAAATAGATTTTGTGTTAGAAATTGAATTGAATTCACGTTTTCCAATAGATTTTTCACATTTTTAAAGAAAAGTGTTGAGAATATCTTACTTTTGATGTCTCAAGGTATTAACTGGATTAAATTTATCACTAGAAAAGATAACGAAGCGGTTTTTTTCTTTTTTAAAAAGTGTACCCAGACACGCACAAGATTTTAAAATCAATACATAAATGGTTTTGTTCCGAATATTGTATTTAATTTTAGAATATATCTATAATACATTATTATTCATTGGCAAGGAAATTGTATAGGAACATAATTCGTATTCAAACATTCAATACTTGTATTAATTTTTTTTTTATATATTTTAATTTTTGTTTTTTATTTTATAAAAGTGGTTAGTAACATCGTTAATATTAAATGTTTTTATCATTTTTTTCAATTGCTAAAATTCATAATTTTGACAAGGAGTCATAAAAAAAACAAAACTTATTTTCTTTCAATAGTATTCAATAAGTTTTAAAAAGAAAATATTTTGGGCGACACTTGTACATTTTATTTAACAATATTTTCATTATCAATCTGTATAGGTGTATAAGTATAATAGACGATATCCTATTTTTATAGTATGTTTCATATTTATATTTATAAATGTAGATTCAATTTTATTATTTTTTATAAATTTGATAAATATAAATAAATTGATCATACATTTAGAATATTATCTTCGTAACACTTTATTAGATAAAAGTGTGATAGCATGTGATTGTGCTATAAGTCAATATACTTCCTTGATAAATATGTTTAGAAATGATTTAGGTGAACATTAAGTATAATAAAACAATAATATAACTTTTGACAATAGAATGATGGAAATTTATATTGATAAATTACTGTCATTCGTTGATAAAATATTTTGTGGTACAAATGAAACGGATATTGATAAATACTCATATTGATAGGAACTAGACAGGTTCAACGAAATGTCCTAGTTAAGGGTGTAAAATTATGAAAGTTCGTTTGATTTTGATTAATAAATTAGGTATTGTAGAATATAAAGTTAAATTGTTAAATTTATTATTCTTTGACAATGATTTTATCATATATGTTATAAAAATGACAGTTATAGGAAATATATTTTTGAAAATGATCCTACATCATATAATACGTGAAAATGTATTTATTATATTTATAAGATTTTGTTTTAATTTGTGTCTGTAATAACACAAAAATAAGAGAAATTAAAATTAAAATGTAAAAATATATTAAAAATTAAAATAAATGGGTTTATGTTATGAGTATGATGTGGCCGGACTGACACAAGGGACACAAGTCTTGTATGTAAGTCCGGTACTAATAAATATTGAATGTACTTATTCTTGCGTTATTACCTTCCTCCTGTTCTTCGGAGGGTTCTCGAGATCGTGATTCGAGAATATGATCAAATACACCGTATGTAAATCAAATAGTAAAATATTTCGTACTGACAATAAGTATGTAGGGCATGCACCTTACCTAGTTCGCCGCGGTGAATACCTGTAGTACGATCCTCAGAGAAAGATGTAAGATAATACAAGTTGCGATACGATTTAAGGAAAACTTAAATTTAAATAAGAAAAACAACACTGATTTATCTTAGAAAAAGAAAGAAGTCCAGCTGTCGCTCGCAGTCTTGAGTTGTGGGGTGTGTGATGGGTTTTGGGAAGAGCTCCTGCTCGTTTGTCTGGTGCGCCTGCACTGCAATTTTGTCGGTGCTCATGCACTCGGTAGTTTGGCTGGTGCTCATGCACTGACTAGAGAAGACGACGTGGTCAAGACAGCCAGGGTCCCCGATGACAGAGAGCCTCATTGGACCATTCCTTGTCTTTGGCGGCACACGAAAATAGGTCAAACGCTTTGTGCCATATGGTCGCAATAGCGTTTGGGTTCCCACGTGGCCAAACAATGTAGATCGTCTCTCTCGTCAGTGATCAATAGGGATTATAGGTTTTTATTGAAGGCTATCTGCGTACGACAACTTGACCGTTACTTTATTTAACGAAATGATAAAATATACAATAAATTATGATGTGTGAGCATATCATTACATGTCTTAGTGTATAAAGTAACATAATAATTCTTAATAGTTATATGTATTATGCAAATATATTGATGTTTATTATAATTATAGATTTTAAGTGAAGCTGAGAATTTATTAATAATTTCTAGTAACTGTAAAACTAAACTTATATTACCTTGGTTTTTATATATTATTACTAGGACTCGAAACTTAATACACTAAACATGAGGTACAAAACATGCATGCTCTATACTATAGAGCTCTAACCTATAGAGTCTATAGGTTTTTAATAGAACAAATTTGCTTTAAAAATAAGATGTTATTTTTTTTCTGCTCATAATTTTCATAATCGTAAATACTTCCTTAAAAATTATTTTTATATTTAATAATTTGTAATAAATATTTATTAATTAATTAATAAAAATAGGAAATTGTATGTGAACTGGTGATTTAAAAAATACGAGGGCGAAAACTTTCAAAATAAATATACGTTATAAGATATGTTTTTAATCGTAAAATTTTTAAATTGTATTATAAAAATATTATTAATCAATAATTATGCTTTAAAAATAGTACTATTGAAAAATATTTTCTTAAAACTACAAAATTACTTTATATGCAAACATATGCAGTATAAACGTTTGATATTTTTTTCGTAGTGTCGTGAAATTGATTTCAAGCTTACTTATTAATAAACTAAATAACCTTCTCAAATAAAAGAATAAAAAACATGCAAATGTAATCATTTCCGGCCCTAATTATTACATACATTTAATATTTAATATTTACTATTAAAAAAACAAAATATAACGATCACGCGGCGTTTTGGATAGGCAATTTAGTTACACCTCAATAAGTAGATAGAAAAATTACTATATATTTCAGAACGATAATTTTTCGGGAGTCGTTGCAATCACATGGTTTATATATATATAATTATGTATTTATATATATATATATATATATCATAATCTGGTTATCGTTTCAGCTCCTGGTGGTATATATTCTGTCTGAAATGTCGCCAGAAGGAAGTGGGGCCCGGATGGGAACCAGGATGCTGGTCGAAGACGTGCCCACACCCGTACTGCCCGTCGTTCCGGCACGTGGCCCGGATTCTTGCGCTGCTCGTCACTGTCTCGCTGTTCTGGGGTGTGGTGCTGGTCGTTATGGGTTCGGACGCCAAGCCGGGCGGACAACTGTTCAACATCGCCGTGCTAGTGGTGTTCGCGTACCTGGGCGGATGGGTGTTCCGCATGCTCACTTTACCCGCACTTGTTGGCATGCTCTTGGTCGGCATAATCTACAAGAACATCGGTCTCATCAACATAGAAGGTCATTACACCGAGCTTGTGTCCATGTTGAGGTAAATGTCTAAAAACTGTGAATCCGTAAAAATGTCCTCTGTTTCGGATCACCGTGTCGCACACAAGGATTTTATGTTGTACCATTTGTGGGAGTTTATACCTGTTTTAGTACAAACATTATCCTATAATAATTGTTGTGATTTTACTAATATTATTTCAAAAATTAAAATCGTTTTTAAGTTTTTGATTTTGATTATAAAAAAATATTTTTGCTTTCATTAATAATTTAATAATATTTCTAATATTTTTGATTTGAATTCTTTTTTGCTGCATACGTGGTGATAATAAGTATGGGCGCATAGTCACCACCCAGTTTTTCGTTAAAAATGTATTTGGTCGTTTACAAACTTTTGTATCGTAAATCCACTCAATTTAATTGTAAAAGAGATAATTTTTTTCATTAGTACTAAGTATAATTTATATTTCATTAAAATAATAATAAATTTATGTGTAGGAGTTAAAATGTTATGCAATGTTCAAATCTTCGATAAGAACAGGACAGTGTTTTTTGTTTTTTCATCGGCGTGAGCCTACATAAACCAAGTAGGTACCCGGCCCCTGGGACTTCATAGTGAATTTAATCTGGGCTTGTATCTTAGTATTTTATTAAAGCTATTATCTTTATTATTCCAATTAAGTTACACTAATATAATAATATAATATATAGTGTACTCTCAACCAGTGGCACAATTCGGTGGTCATTATAATCGCATATACCTTCTAAAAAAGATAGTTGTTCAAATCCACACATTTTTGTACATAGATTTCGCACAGTTTTTCAAAAATCAAACCGTTCAACACACATACTAGAATATACTAATAACACACACATTCATCTAAAATCACATTATCGTTTAGAAACGCGCACTAGTTATCATATTTAATCAAAATTATAAAATCATAAGTACTTTATAGAATACTTGAAAACATTAGACTTTAAGGGATTTTCATTTATTTCAATCTAAGGATTTTCTACTAACATACTTTATTTTATTTTACTATATATTGAATTATTTTTTATATGATTTGTTTAATAACTATCAATCAAATATATTGTGTGGTTTTGAATTATCTACTTAAAAAATTTCCCTTTTTAACATTAGAAAAACTTTGTGTGGTATTTAACGGTCTAAAATGCGTGGTTATGTATTGTAAGTGTGCGTTTTTGAACGATGCTTGCGTAAATTGGGTAGGTGACTAGGAGGACGATCGTATAAAATATCTTCGTTTTTTTTTAAATATTTTATTAATTTTACTGTATGTTTACATTAGTTGCGCCACTTGGCTCGATTGTGATGATTTTGTTTGTTCACTATCTAATCTTACTGATAGAGCTAAGTCTCGTTCCTCGATACACGATGTGTATAAAAATTAATATAATATGTACAGATTGTAAAGTGGCATTTTGTTACAGAAAAATTGCATTAGTGGTGATATTTACAAGGGCAGGATTGGACTTGGACCCAGTAGCATTGAAAAAACTATACTGTAGAGTGTTGTTCCTTGCTCTCATTCCGTGGTGTACCGAAGCAGCCGTAATCGCGACGACCGTTCACTATTTATTAGATCTTCCGTGGCCATTCGCTATACTTTGTGGGTGAGTATCGTATAATATTACTATAAATTATTATTCGACTAAATATTTCTGTTTTATACCTATCAATTTCAATATAATAACACAATAATTGTATACCAATCGTATTACATAATTAGTAAATTATAAAACGACTTTTGGTACCTATCTACTGTCGTAGATCAATCATCGCTGCTGTGGCACCAGCTGTAGTTGTGCCTTGTCTTTTTCGCTTGAGAACGAAGGGCTATGGTGTGGCCAAAGGAATCCCGACGTTGATCATAGCAGTCGCTGGGATTGACGACGCTGCATCTGTCATAGCTTTTGGAGTTGGCACCAGTATGCTTTTTGGATCAAGTACGTAATACACCTATAAAATAATTGTAATAGTTATAAACTAAATTAACTTCTATAAAATTCTTCTTCACAGTAAATTCCTAATTTAAATTCATAATATATTTAACTGAAATTTATTTATTTTTTGTAGGTACCTGCTTGAAAAGTTTGCTTTAGACTATTTATTTCATAGTTTTTTTTTTTTTTATAAATTTTATTTTATAATAAAAAATGTAAAATATTATCATTTATATTTTATATTAAATTAAATTTAGAAATTTTTCATTATATATCATATATGTACACCACGTGTGTCTGTATATTAACATGTTTTGTTTATAGTTTCACATTCTATGCTATTTAAAGTAAACTCGTAATTTATGTTTTGCAACTTAAAATGTTATTTTTATACAAAAATATAACTACGCGATAATTTTTTTCTTCGTTATTTTTATATGCTATTACCTAATAAATGTTTATGTTTTTCAGATTCAGTTACTTATGATTTATTGTTAAGTCCAGTGTCAATAGCAGCTGGGATATTGTACGGTTTAGTTTGGGGTTTTATTGTTAAATACGTTCCAGAGCGAAGTGATGTAAGTATTATTATTGCAAATATTGTTAAAAATATTAATTTTACTGATTTATTAGAGTCGCTATAAATTTGTACGAAGTAAGAAGAATAATTAATTTTAAACGGTTTTGTTCTTGTAATATTTTCTCTCTTTGACATATTTATTTTTTTTTTTTAAGATACTAGGAAAGAACTTGGTACCTATCTAGTTATTTTGTAAAAAATAAAGTTGTTAAGAATAATATTTGGTGATTTTTCTAATACTTTACTTGAGCTTTATTTTATTTAATATCAATCAATAGTATTATTTTAAGAGGATGCCACACCCGCATGTGTTATCTCTATCTTACATACATACAACATAGCAAATTTTCGTTTAGTTGAATTCATTTTTTTGTTGTTAGCTTTAATATCAGTGTAAATTTATCTATTATTAAACTTGATGGTAAGAATTTTATCTAGGCCAACACATAGGCTTTTATTAATAAATAAATAAATTTTAAATTTAGTTATGAGTATTTTAAAGTTTTAATACTTTACATAGCTATAACTCAGTTTAAAATTAAAATATTACATTTTATATACATAAAAGACGGAGATAACGTATGCGAGTGTAGCGTCCTCTTAATAATTGTGTAATTATATAAGTATAATATCATTTATAAATGTACGAGTAATAAGTTAATTTTTTTCTCGACGAATTAATTTATTGTTTGTTATTGTTTTATTTATATAGCCTTATGTGGTTCCACTGCGCATTTTAATGCTGTCTGGAGGTGGATTGTTAGCTGTACTAGGTTTTGAACGTACAAGTTTAGAAGGTGCCGGTCCATTAGCCGTGATCATTTCATCGTTCACTTCAATTTATTTTTGGACTAAACAAGGGTGGAATATTGAAGATGTATGTTAATGGTTAAGTAAAATTAACAATAGTATTGAATTAACATACATATACAATTTGAAGTTTGTTTAAAACAATATAATATAGCGATTGGGAAATAATAATGGCTTGGAACAACTATTATAATAATCAAGAAAATTAAAAAAAAATATTTATATAGTAAAAAAGTATGTTATTATATTGATAATACTCGTGCGTAAGATATTCGGAACTATTTATTCAGAATATAATACGAAAATAGAATAAAATTAAAATTAATTATTACCATTAATAACAATATAATATAGAGTATAAAGTTTTTAATATTTTGAAATTATTACAATTATAAAAATATCTTAGTATAATTTATATTCTGAACAAAGACATAAAAATATTGATTTTACGATGATATGTATTTTTAAAATTACCTTTCAACAATATTAAAATATCGAAAATATATTCGCAATATTTTGTTTTTTAAATATTTAAAGTTAAAATTTAATTAAAATCACAAATGTAATACAGACTTCCTCATAAGCTATTTCAATAGAAATTTAAAAATATAAAATTGTCAAGGCTATTCATAGTTATTTTTACAATATGTAATATTGATTTATAATTCGGACTCAGATTTTAATGAAGAGTAGATTTTTTTTTGGTGGGTGCTCTAGGACTATGAAATTCAAGTACTTAATCTATTTCCTGTAACAGATATTTGAAATGTAAAAATTTTTATTTAATTGAGTAATTTTGATAATTTTAAGGGAATTTAAATCCGTGAAATTTTTGTAAGTTAATAAAAATATAATAACAAGTATTACATTATATTATATTAAACGCAATGTTTTTGGAAAAAAATATGTATATTACTAATAACATTGATTATAGAATATACGTTAATATAGTATATTCTATAATCAATGCTAATAATAATATAATTAGATAATATTTAACTGCATGATTTTTGGATTTTCAAAAAAAAAAAAAGATATAAATAATATTATGTTATTTGATGTACAGACATGGTGAAAATATTCAAAAAATAATTTTACAAATTTAAATGAGCTTATAAATACTTTTATATTCTGCAATATTATGAAGTTTATGATATTAACACCTCACTTACAATAAAAAAAAAATACCAACTCTTGTTAATAAATTTATCTTTCTTTGTATTAAAACAGTTGAAATATTTATGCATTATGACTATAAAAATAAATTAATACATATCCAAAGTTGATGTTATTTTCACAAGTACCTATACTGTGTAAGTATACAGCCACTCTGTATTTGCTCAGTGAATGGTAATACATTATAAACGTATAATGCATTATAACTTGTAGATTATGAAAATTTAATTATATATTATTTCACTGTTTTGTCAAAATATACTCATCATAAAAAATTTAAAAATATTTTTGGTGTACTTCTCTCACAAAATATATTATGTTATTTATAAGTAATTAAAATTGATGGTATGCAGTTTTTTCTTCCGTCACATTAATAAAATAAAATAAATTTCCAGTTATGTGGTATGACATAAACTGATAAAATATTGATTATATCACTTCAGCATTATAACTTCAGAACTTCTATTATTAAACTATGTAATTTAATATTATTCGATATTAGATATCTACGTCATAACTTAGAAATATTTTATTTACTTCACGCATGATTTAATACCTACGCAACTAAGCTAATTAGCCTATTATAAAAAAAAAAAATAAGAAATAGAGAGAAGAGGATGGTAGATTATTTAACTCAGTTTATTTTTTTTAATAATAATTTAGGTATGATTCCAATTATTTAACTCATTTACTATAATACATAGCACTGAGCTTAATTAATGACTGAATTTATCTATTCAAATTTTACTTTTTAGCAGAGCAAGTTTCTCGATTTAAAAAAAATAAATGATTATTCTGTTCGTCATATGCTATATTATGACATATACACATAGGTTAAGTACATTGAATTTCTTAAGACACTGTAACTATAGTATAAATAATTTTTTAACAATAAAAAGTTTAGTGTTTACCATTATATGATATAATATTTTTTATAAATCAATGTACATAAATAATATTACTCAAGTACTCAATGTAGTACATAAACTAATAATCTGAAATAACTAAACGTAAACTGTTTAATCGCTGTAAATGCGTTATGTCAAGTAGCTGTATAAACATTACGACTAAATCTTAAATATTATTTGTAGAATAATACGAGATGTAGCTTTGTATATAGTATAATATAGTGGGCCTTTAGTTGGATTTAAATCGAGATTTTTTTTAAATTAAGCGGTTTATCATTATCATGTTATATTTAACGTTATGATATTGTTGATTTTTCTTATAATAGAACCCAGTAGCCACGGCTTTTGAAATATTTTGGATGATTTGCGAGCCAATACTATTTGGATTGACAGGCACACAAATTGTACTCAAAGAACTTGACCTGAAATTCGTAACAGTAACCGTTATGTGTGTCGCCATCGCTTTTGTGGTATGTAAAAATAAAAGTGGTCGTCGACCGTATATTAATATTGCTTATTACAACCAATATTAATACCTAAGGTTTAAAATTGAATGTGACACATGAGTTTTTACCGTTTTCTTCAGTGTAATAACAAAAATAGGTACTATTATTATTATTTTTATTCTATATTGTGCACACTATACGAAATCGGGCCAAATAATTTATAATCATGGCACTTCAATATTCGTTTCAGTCACGGATTTTTATAACGATCATAGCAGCGTCTGGGAGTTCTTTGAATTTTAAGGAAAAACTGTTTATCGCGTTATCATGGATGGCCAAAGCATCTGTTCAAGTAAATAATGATATGTTTTATTTTTTTAGTGTTGATATAATATTAGTCCACCAAACTAAGATATTCGTAATTCAAAAATAAATAGAATTATTAACGAAAGCGTGAAGGTAATTTAATTTGAATCATTTAAAATTAATTTTGAGTGAAAATGTTAACAAACAGAAAATAAAAACATCCTTAAGCCATAATATTGTATCAAAAAAAAAAAAAAAAAATAACTATTTTTTTTTTTTAAATCGATTTTCTTATAATAAAGTTTTATAGGTTATACCTACAATATTTCACTGTTTTATCTTTAAAATGTTGAGTGAAGCTATGAATGCTATGAATGTATTGATTTTACAATGGACAATGGTGTGTGTTTCAATTTATCAATTTTTTATCTATTGGAGCAAAAAAATACTTAGATACTTTGAGAAAGATTTCTGGTAGCAAATTGGATTTAGTTGATTCTTGTGTAATGTGGTGTGGTATTTGTATAAAATAGGGGGAGGGGATAAAAAGTAAAAGTAAAATTCCAAGTATTTCACAAAACAATTGAAATATATAAAAAAAAAAAAAATTAAGAAAAACTAGAAATTTTTACGTAAAACATGTATATGGTAAAATTAATATTGTTTTTTTTTTGTATAACTCAAAATCTAATAATTTTAGACGTTTCATATCTTCATTAAATATTTAGATAAGCATTTTATATTCATGATAAAATGTTCAAAATAATGATTCATTTTGAGCTATTTATAAACATTTAGAATTTTTAATTTTTTTTATAAACGTCGATAAAAAATTTATTTACTTAATCGAAAACCTTAAAATTTACAAATTTAAGGATATATTGTCACGATATTTTTAATGAGTATACCTTAAATTCAAATTTTGATAAAATTTTTTAAAATCACGAAAATTTACAAATAATTTCTTAATTAACTTTTTTTATAAATTGTCGAATTTTTATAATCAATGACAGAATATTTTGCATAAGATTTCTCCGAAGTAGATCATACTGTAACCAATAAATTTAAAAAGTATAGAATCACAGATGTTTTTAATAGACATATTAAGTTTAAATTTGCACAAAATTAGATAAATTAAAATGAAAAATAACGATTTTGGTTATTTGTTGTAATTTAATAATATTATTTATGGTTATTTGGAAGTTTTAACGTTTATCATTATATCATATACATAAAATGACATTTTAAAGTACAATACTTTCGGTGCAAGATGAAAATAGTAAAATAAATATAATATCAATATATATATATATATATGTATAAATGTGTTATAAAAGAGTAAATTCATAGTCTAACAGATTTTATTTTATGATTTATCTTCAAATTTAAATTTAACGCATAGATACATTACAGTTACCTACTCCTCCACAGCAAAGTGGTAACCTATTTTCCTTTTTTTTTTTTTTTTCAAAAACGTTCGCATTGTCGTTTTTAGGCCGCTTTGGGACCAGCCGTACTGGAGGTTGCTGAAAACAACAAAAATTCGGAGCACATCGCCTACTCCCGAATGATCGTGATGGTGTGTATCATTTCCATCCTGTTGACCGCCCCGGCGGGCGCGATTATCGTCTCGCTGTCCGGCCCCAAGTTGCTGACCAAGGCCAAGCCCAGTAATGAACAGTGGCGCCGCGGACCGAGACCGTCGATCCGCGACATCACGCTAAACAGCGAGGACGAGGAAAACGGCACAAGTGTGAGCAACGACCAGGTGCAGGAGTGCAGCAGTGACCTGGCAAACGCGGTATGCACGCCCGAGGATCGGAGCGACAAGATTTAAGTACCACGGCCACGAGAAAATAACACTTGAAAAAAATCGAATTCATCTTGTCACTATTACGTGTTTACTTACATCGCAACAACACGTGTATAATATTAAACGTATTATATAGATTACGTGGCTGTAGATGAATCTCGATTTCCGATTTTCGGATCGGACGTTTTTGTTTTTAATTTTTATAATTCCCCTGTACTACGTATATTATACCTAGTGCTACCTAAACTAGTCTATATAATGCTTTTGTGACGATGTTTCATATTTTATAGACGGATTATATAGTGTTCATTATGGTTTAAAATTCAAATATTTTATGTGGTATAATTTATGTTCGCGTAATACTGGATACATATAGCTATAGGTACTTTAATTTATTTCCCCCTACCCCGTTCCGTAAAATTATTCAGCTTTTCGTTATTTATTTTAAATATTTTTAATTTATGTGTTAAATAATATTTTTAAGTTAGTAGGAGGTACTTAATTAATAATTAGCATTTGTTAAGTTATTTCATTTGAATAAAGAAAAAAAAAAGTTAAAACATATTATATTATGTATTATACCTACGAATGTGTTAGTTAGACATGTAACGACTATAAATTGTTTATAATTAACAACTTTACTGTATAATTTTATATACGATATGATAAATAATGTTTAACGGAAAATAACATTATTCACCGGCTTTTAACATTGCTGACCATATATATAGGTAATTATCGTTCCCTCCGAGATCAATGCATTTAAAAGTATTATATTGTACTGTGGAAGCAAATCAAAAAAAAAAAAAAAAAAAAAAAATGAAAGTAAGTTTATATACTGTCGAAAATTAACTTAAAAAAATCGGTGAATTTGTTCCTTAATAATGTTCAATAAATCAAGATCGAAATTAGTAATTAATTATTAGGTATATAATCAGTATATTAATCTTAATTAGTGAGTTTATCTAAACTCAATTTGTCTCATTATAATATCATATAGACAACCAGTTTAAATCATAATTCATAAATATCTCGTGCAGCGATTCACATTCACAGTAAAATCATATTTTTATTCAAATAAGTAGTAAGCGATAAAGTTAATGATCGGTGAATCACGTACTCCATTTTAACGTATAATTTACATTACCATACTATTATATAAACAATATTGCAATTATTAAATCGACGGAGAGCCAATGCATAAATGACATTTTTTTGTTGGACATCTGTTGACTGCCAGTAATAAAATAACGCTATGAAATGTTATTATATCGACTATATAGATACGTCGTATGCATTAGCTTTATTATTCTCGCGATGGTACTTATTACTGTATTTAAGTGTATTATACATAGCTAACTGTATCGAGATGATAGTGTGTGGTTGCTCTATGTATGACTCTGTTTATGCATATTATATTGCAGTAAATTTTTATTAAAATAATAAAGGTATATAGTATTTATAAATATTAGTCGATTATTATTATTCAACAGACATCATTTTTAAATAAAAATACAGTTATAATAAAGAATTATCGACTCGGTTGAACTCATTTCAACGATATTTCTGTCAACTCAATACAGTTGAAAGTATTTTTTATTTTTATAAATTCGAATTTAAGGTTTGAAAGTATGGCATTTAAAAAACATAGGGTAATTAAGTTAGAACGTTTCAAAAATATTTAATCTATCATAAAATGAATGATTTTCATTAAAACATTGTTATTATTTATGTCTATAGTTTAAGGTGCCTATATTATCTTTGTTTAATCAAAATATATTTTTGAATACTTATTAATTGCATTTTAAATTTTAGTATTACCAAGAATAAATAATAATATTGGCTTTTTTTTTTAAATGTATTTTCATAGTATTAAATTTATCATAGTTGTATTGTTATATTTATTGAGAATAATATTTGTATAGATATTACACTATAATTTATTGTGATAACGATAAATTATTAATTATTTTTTGATTTATTAAAAGATTAGTTATTTTGTGATACTTGATATTATCAAATGAAATAATAATAATAACTGTTATTTGGTTTTTTATTTTTAAAACATTAGCACAGATCACGTTTCATTCTTTTTCGTGGTCGAAAATTTCGATTTTCGTAATATTTTTATACGTTGGTTGTTATTAGTAAAGTATAACATTTTAATATACACCACACCCATCGGTTGTGTGACAAACGGTTAGTAGAAACACAACGTTATTTTTTTTCTCATTTGGGTGATTTATTATTGTTAATAATTTAAAATATCGGCATAAATATTTATAAATACATACTTTTTACATTAAGTCTTAATGCAAAACCGTATTTAAAATCTTGTCTTTACTGGGCATATAATTTACGTCATATCCTGTTATCAATATTTCACTATTTTATTCATGATTCAGGGATGTCGAGATTCTTTATCATTTTCTGAAAAAAACTTTGTAACATTTTAATACTAATAATGTGTTTAAATTAATTAAATAAAACCATTAAATGATTCAACTTATATGACTTTGTTTTGTCGATGAATTTATGAAAGATTTATCTAAATAATTTTAAGTCAATTTGTACAAATTGTATTCATGAATATGAGTGCATAGGGCACCGGTGTCTCAATTTGTACACCCTATGTAATAGCAAAATACCGGATACCTAACTTAAAGATTCTTTCTAAACCTATTGATGGTGAAGTTTATGCCCCTGTCTTGCTATTAAGAGTTAATTTAAACTTTGAAGGTCCTAGTTTTCAGTTTCCAAAATATTCTCTCGTTTTGTGAATAATCAAAATACAAAAGTGAATCCAATTCAGATTGCAGGTTGAATATAAAAAGATAAATATTATAGTTGTCTTTATAGTTAAATCCACCTCTTATAGCATGATAACTATTATTTTATACTGATAATTGATATTTTCTTTTTAAATATTATATCAGTACTTAGAAAATTATTTATTTTAATTTTAATATTATAGTATTGCATTGCACGTTATACATGCTAAAAAAAAAAAAAATACATTGTATTGCGTTAAAAAGGTAATATAATGTAATTGAAACTTTTTTTAAATATCATGCATTTCGTCATAGCCTTGTAAACAATGGCGTGCTAAAATGTTTTAAATGTTTTTAACAAAGCCGTAAAAATGAAATATTTTATCATTATATTAGGTATATTACATAGCTAAACTGCCTACATATATATCTCATGATTATATTCCCTATCGGGGGGCAATAATAAATTAGGGTTTGTGAAATAGTGTAATATCATATTAACAATACTAATGAATAGTTAGCAAGTGCATTAATATATTAAAAAAGAGCTGTATATTTTTTAAGTGTTTAGATAATGGGAGGCGAAGTATTTTAATCGCCGTAAAGCCGTTATAGGTCATTGTGTGGTCCTAACAGTCGACACAAATGTTTTATAGCTTTTAGTTTATTTTCGTAATGCACCAAGTGAGCAAACACCTAAAGTATCAAAACAGTGTACAGTATGAGGCTTCGAAATTATAAATTGCTTTTTTCACGTCGATTGAATACAAAATCGGTGTAGGCTTTACCCGTTACTCAAATAATATGGTTCTACCATTTACGAGTGACTATTATATTCAACGTAATGTACATTAATTGTTCGACGATAATTATAAAGGTAATACAAAATATTTTGAACGTACCACTCGAAATTTCGTTCGAGAATTTTTACTACTCAAATGACTTAACAATACACTTATTTTTGAAAAATTAAAATTATTAAAATTATCTTTCATGCAAGTGTAGCAAAACAAACGCTTTTTGATTTTCACCCTTTTGTATGTGTTTAAATTCGTATTAAACTAATTTTTTCAAGTTATTTTTACTTATAAAGTTTTTTTCTATCTTAGAGATTGACCTATTTCTTGACGATGACGGAGTATTTCTGTTGAGAAGTCTTTTCAATATGTTATTCTTGTCCGCATATTATTATATAAATTATCACCTGAGATTATTGTTCATATATTGTAACAAATACTTAATAAAAAATAATGTCAAAAAAAAATTAACTTATTGAAAGTGAGTTAATGTTTTGATTTATGTATGTTATATTTATCGTAGTTTTTAACAGTCATTTACAATTTTATTAGGTTTTATGTGATTTTGTAGATACTTACGAAACTACACTTAAGCATTTAAAAAAATCAATTTAACTTAATCTCAACTAATCTAACTCACTTTTAATTAGTCAATTTTTAAAATTGACAAAATTCTTTAAATCAAGGTTGTTAAAAAAATTAATTTAATTTTAATTTGAATTCAAAAAGGGGTAGTACAGTTAAAAGAAATTTCGTCTAAAATTTAAATTATTCAAAAATAAATGTAGTACGAGTATCAAGTTTTTTATAAAATAATCAAATTAAATTTATGGTTATATATTCGAAATATTTATTTATTATCTTATATCACGTTAATTGCTTTTTTTTTTTTAGTTTAACAATATTCGAGGAATTTGATTGATCAAATTATCAACGTTCAGCTCAATTAATGATAATGTGATTCAAATCCTAAACGAACGCGTTATTACTAAAATAAGATGCGATATTAATTTTGGAGTCTAAGTATTTTTGGTCACCATACATGATAAATTCACTGTTATGTTAATATACAATTTTTGAGAGGAAGCTGAATGACATCAAGGATAGAAGCCGTAAATGAAAACCGAGTATAAGTATACCCACAGATAAGATATTATTTTTGCTATATTATACTGTTTTTGATTTAAAATTATATTGTCAATATTATTATGGGTAATGTAAGAAATTAAATATCGTGCGAAAAAAATTTAAAGTAAGAAAAATATAAAATAAATGGATTATTAAAATGAAATTAAAAATATTGTAGGTAGGTACTACTAAATTTAAACATTCAAGGCAATTAAATATGGGTACTGTTTAATTAATTATTTTTAAAGACTCGAAGTAATTTCAATATTATTAATTAGAATAAATATTATTTTAATTTTAATAAACAGAAATTGCATATGGCTTTATTATTATTGTTGATTTATATATATATAAAAAAAAAATAAAACCAGACGTAAATGATGCAAACACTTTTATTATAATTTATAAGTATATTGTATTTTTTATTATAAATTAATGAACTGTTGAACCATTACTGTAATACTTGTTTGATTTTTATCATAAATTAGGTCTTTACAATTTTGTGGAACGTAACATTTTTTTTTCATATTTCCGAAATTTTTTAACATTGCATAGTTATATACATGTTTGTGAAGTTATATGTTAGTAAAAGTTATGTTTATATAAACATGTTAAATTTTTATTTTTAACAATTTGAAATTTATCATTATACATTTATAGACTAATTGATTATCTAAATTGTTAGATTATAGTATAAAAGAATATTTAGTGTAAAAAAACATTTTAAGCTTTAACCTTTAATTTCATCCATAAACATAATAATATTATATAAATATATGTTTAACAGATGTTAAACTTAGAGTTAATATATGGTATGATTGACTGAAATCTCAAGTATCTAAAAGTATCTATATATAAGTAGGTATAATTGTAAACAAAACAAATGCCAAATTATTTGATTAAAGACATTAAGTAAGAGTACTTATTGTGATTATTATAGACTATTATAGTAAAATATAATACGTATAATTTTATCATAGGGATAATATCGTATTGATATAACTTAATAGTAATATTAAATTCATTGTCATTACTTGATTAGGTATATCTATGGTCAATATGCGTATTCAGTTTAGAATTAGATTACTTACGTTAATTTAGCAAAAAATTATCTATACCTATTAGGGTTGAGCGATACAATTTAAATAAATGATATTGAAATACCTTTAGGTACTTACTACGCTTATGTTAAATTATTTTATTTCATAGTAAATATAAGTAATACACGTAATATGTACACATTATTTATATTAAACTGTAGGGTGGTTAACTGTAATGACGTGTATCTATACTCCTGTCGTCTGTAGGAAGCTAGGTATACTACGAGTCCCTTTTTTGAAATGGAATTCTTAAATCTAAGGACTGCTGTATGAAAATAATCTATAATTTTGTTGGATTAAATAACTTCATTAACTTAAGCCGTGATTTTTGAATGTGTTGTTCAATATTAATAATTAATACATCACAGTTAACATTATGGTAATTTAAAATTTTGTATATTATTATATAACTTATAATCTTATCAGCTGTAGTCAGTAGATACTTTTATCGTGAATGATGATTTTTTTTCTATATTAGTTTATTTAAGACTATAGTTATATACATACCGATATTACAATACTTAAATAGTTTTTAGTTATTACTCATAGAACTTTAAAAAGTTTTATTTAGGACTAATAAATAAATAACAGTTTTGCTTAATAAAATAAAATTACAGTTAAGGCAAAGCCCTCGCTCTTTAAGTGTCCTATATGAAAATGAGGACCTTCTAACTCTAGGACACTAGACTTTTAATGATTCACTTGATCCTTGTCTCTAGGTGAGTTATATTTAAATTTTACTATAAGTAATCGAGATAGATGATTTAAAAGTCTTCAACTATCCATGCCTTTTTTTTTAATAACTCATCTAAGGTAATTCAATTTTATCTGTTATTCCGAACAATAATAGTGTAGTGATTTGTCTAAAAGAGATTGGAACTTTATTTTTGACCAGCCCAAGACCCAATAATATTTTATCCAGTTCTACATAAATAATCACATCATGCTATTCATCGAACAATAAACTAAATACGATACAAGAATGATTTGTATTGTGAATTAAAGCCGATTTTACACGACATTAACCGTTCACATTATTCGAAATTTAAATATAGCGTTTATAACTTTAATGCGAATATTTATTCAAAATTTAACATAATGCATTTCAAACAAACGTTCGCGTCGTATGAAATCATTGATAAATTGTAGAATTTAAAAATGTTTGATAACGAAGTTTTGTTAACACTTAGCAATGTATAAATAGTGTTTACAATTTTAAGCATTTAAAGAGATCAATAGTAAAAAGGAGAAGTATTACTTACTTTCCTGAGCTTTACTGCATAATATAAGTAGGTATTTGGTGTACTTCATCAATGAGTAAGTTACCGTAATTTCAAATTTTATTATTCAAAACAAATTTCAAGAATAAAATAAAAATAAAAATATATAGTCACTCATATTTCTAGGATAAAAGTTTTTGAACATAATTACTAAATAATTTTAATCATTTATTTATTTCACAACGAATATGTTGTAAGAGTAATGATATTTTTTTTGGTTACAAATGTTTTATTATGTTTCATATATAATTTTTAGTCAATTATTGTGAGTTCCTAAAAATTGTTTACTTTTTACATAGTTCTCCAATAATTACAATAATGCATTTTTTACAGTTGTAATAGCTTTAACCTACAAGAGTAGGTAAGTTGAAAATATTGTTCCGTGTTTTTTTTTTTTTTTACATCCGATTGTACATAAAATTCGAACTGAACAGTTTCGTTAACCTTTTTAATATAACTCACATAAATATCAATACCATAATATTTTCATACATTTATTTATTGAGTTTTACTATTATACAATATAATTTTATATGTGAGCATGCGACAATAACCACTATCGCGATTATGATTCAGACACTATAAGTACTTAGCTTTAGCCTGCAGGTGATGGGTACTATATAGGTAAATACATCGTAAATATTATGCACTCTACGAGTGCATAATAAGGCAAATAATAACTATTTTTATTTTCAATATCCTTTGATAAATTTGTTGAATTGATTCATGTTAAGATGTTTTGTACATTTATCTACTTGTTATTGACAAACAGTAAAACAATTACAAACGACCATTATTTTTTATTTTGCCTTTTAATTACTAAATAAGTAATTATTATAATACATTATATAAATTTATCGACGTGTCTACAACGATCCATGTTTATATTTTTTAGTGCAATCAGTTGTAAATGTATAATTTATAATACTTTATTGTATATAATTCTATAATATAAAAAAAAAAATATTTATTTTTGAAATAATACCTATAATATATAATTTTAAAATTGTATTGAAACGAGTATCGAATTCACTGTTGATTTTGATTAACTAAATCTTTTTACAGTTTTTGTAAAACAATATATTATTTTAGGAAAATATAAAATGTACCCAATAATAAATATGTAAATTATATTTGCTGTTATAACAAATTTCGTGTTCTATAAATGTCACAACATTTAAAATTTAAAGCAAACACATATTCTATAAATATAATTTTCATATAACATTGTACTCTTCGTTATGTTTAAACTTTATTTTTTAAAAGGATATGGTTAATTATTATATTTTTATTATTATTGTGTCATAAATCTTAAAACGACGGTTCAGTTAAATAATTATTAAACATCATTTGATATTCATAATATTATTTTTATTATAGATACAAATAATATAAATATAACAACTAACAATATTATTGTATTTGTGTACAAATTACAATAAATAAAAATTTTAAGTTATCAAAAATAATAAAAAGTAAACAACTCATAACCTATGCATGATAGTAGCTAGTAGGTATGTATATCTAATAGGTAGTTAACTAATAAATTATGGTACAAACTATTTGTGTACTATTATTGTATCTATATAATTGCAGGTTGCACAAAACTTGATGCTTATATTTTTTTTACAGAATATTTTTTTATAGTTTATTAGAAGCGAAAAAAAATAAATATTAAGAATAAATAAAAACAATTAATTAAAAATATTAACATTTTTTTTCTTACTTTATGAGGTAAAATGTATTCATTTTTGTAAATTTATAATTATAATGTATATAATATTTGGACTGGTGATAAATTTTTTAAGTAAAAAATTGAATAAATTGAATTTTATGATGATTATTAATTAATTAATAAATATTATTTAATTTTTATAATAGTAACAGAAAACAAAAATGCAATATTTAAAGACACAAAAAAAAAATCATTTTTTTTATCTGCTTTAAGACTTATAAAGTCTTAATAGTTGATACTACTTATAACTATATATTTCATTTAGAAATCATTATAATTTTTATGAGCACAGCTGCTTTGTGACGACCCAGAGATAGTGTTCATTTTTGTTGACTCACTGTGATCCATAGAACCTCTAAACTTTTTTCGTAAACTCGTAATAACTTTGCGTTTAGCCACAAATATAATAAATATCATCACGCCTTGTAGTGCGTTAATTTCATCTAAAATGTGCCATATGAACCAATCATTTTGTAAGATTTTAGATAGTATTTCGAATGTCCACGGAATTCCCATAACCAGAAATAGTTTAATGCTCATTACAAATCTGTTAAAAAACAATGAATTAAAAGTTATTTTAAGTCGAATAAAAATTATTTGGAAGATTTAATATTTTTTTTTTCCTTATGATATCAAGGACTGGAGGAGGAACTATAGTACCAGTACTTTTCCTAGATTTAACGTATTAACTAATGAAAAAGATTGAAAATAATAATTTTAAAAGAAAATGAATAAATAAATAAATTACATGGTTAAATTAGAACTTAAAAAAGTAATTAAGGGTTATGTTAATGATTAAATCAAAGAATTAATAATTACATTATAGTCAAAGAGAACATCAAATAATAAGTAATTAAGTTGTTGTTTAAGAGAAAAAAAGCTAGTTTGTATCTAAGGCTTGGAAGTTATAAAATTTGCATATTTTTTTTCATTATATGCTTTCAATTTATAGTAGACCAAGCCATCCTCAACAATAATGATTGACGAGTTTGAAAATTGAAAATGTACCTATATTTTGTATATTTTTTCAATTCTAGAAAAGGAATGCATACCTATTTCTTTATTTTTGTTTAAAAAATGATTTATTTCTACTTATTTAACGTTTTCTAATAAAAATTTATTTATTTATTTTATATCTTACATAGATATTTTAGTGTTTAACCTTTAAAATAGAGAATAAATGTTTTTATAAAAACGATTTAGATGTATTGATGATCTTTTTTTTTCAGTTCAATAATAAATTAATAATGACAATCAATCTAAAATCAATTCTCTAAACATTAGCTCATATAGATTTTTCTTTTTAATAAATTTAATAAAAAAATTTTTAGTGTACCAAGTATATTTATAACAATGTAACAATGGTAATATATAAATTATAAATTTATAAATTTGTTTGAATATGTAACAGTTAGTTTTTTTTGAAATTTTAGGTTTTAAAAATTCCGAGTCCTTCTAGTGAGTGTTTTAATTTAACTTTGTTGTGAAAAAAAAATGTCTGCTTATATTTTTTAATTAAATGCTTTCATATAATCATAGATAATTTTGCTGAATTTTTAATAACATTAAGATTCGAGATATTTATGATTTAATAGTAATTTATTTTTTGTAAGCAATATATTTCCTACTTTTCGGGATAGCTAAAAACAATGTTGACATTTTTAAGAGACTTTTGTAACTAATTTAGTCATATAGAATTACACATGTATGTATATGTTTTTTTTTTTAATAATAGCACATTAACTAGGTGGTTAATTAGTGGTTACAAATTAGTTTTAACATTTTATAACTCAGTTTAATTCTTTATCTACTAATTGATCGCGCTAAAGTGCATAGATTGTTATCTAAATTTAAATAACTTAACATTAAATAATCGTATTAAAGTGTTATAACAAAAATTGACGAATTATAATGTAGTCGACATTGTAGCATGGTATAACTTATGTCGTTTACTGAAAAACTATCTTTTACAGCAAATAGTCTTTTAATTATCGCTAATATATATATATATAGGATCAATATAAAGAACAAAATAAATACTCGAAATATGCGTGATTTTAACTTTATAGTAAATAGAATATACGTTTTAAATTAAACTAAACCAAAATTAGTTATCGAAAATACGGTATAATAATTACCAGAAGTGCTAAATTTATTTTAAGTTAAAAAAAAAAAAAATCAAATGCCAATAATATGTTATTAGTACCTTATACATTTTTTCTTTTTCTTTAGGTGAGTGAGTTTAAAAAAAAATCTACTTTCATTTTTAATATCAATTGTATATTTTATTAGTTTTATATATTTTAATAAAATATAAGCAGTATTATTTTCATTCCATCACGTGGAATCTGTTTTGAATTGAAATAATTCATTATAAAAAGTAAATTTTCATATACAAGCATGTTGACACGTGAATATTGAGTTATTTGGAATAAGCCATTTTTTTTTTTAAATACAAAGTATTATACATGGAATCAGTGAATTTTAAACTTTTAAAATAGAAAACTTTATTAACTTTAGAAATAATAAAGAACTTTTTTTTTAAATTTAAGACCAAACAATGAAATAAAAATATTTTAATTTATTTCAAAATTTAACTGACGTTCCATCTTTATGGACATATAAAGTTCTATGTCATCATAGGGTCGTCGTTTTTGATGTAGATACCTATCTAATGTATTTATGCAGTGTATCTTACACTTCATTTACTTACTTTTCTTTGTCAACAAGAAATCGTTGTGTTTTTGAATCGGTTCGTTTGAATTTATTGAGTTCAGATTTTATTCTTGAACAGTGAATAGCAGTTAGCACGAACAAAATTAAATTGACAGACAGCATAACAGACACAGGTAGTATGAAGAATATTATATTTCCAGTGTTAGTGTTGTCTAAAAAAAATTTAAATATAAATGAATAGTTATATATTTGTATGTTATAACCATACAGTATACATATTTAATATAAATATCCAGTGGCGCTGATGTTCATTCAATGTTATATCGCGAAATTATAAAGTTTATACAAACACCCAATAATTATTATTTATTTTTTTGACTCTAATGGCGTGCTTTGTCGCCTGTTACACCACCCAATTGATATCTTCACTTGTTTATTAATTGTATAGTACTTTAATTGATTAATTGTGTTATGAATACATTAAAAATGTTAACCTTGGATAATGGATTATATATATGTTGCGATTATACACATATTAATATTTAATAGATAGTTTATTTGTATAAGTAGTATAATATAATAGCTATAATAAACTTCTATAAACTTCTATAGTGAATTCAACAAAAACTTTTTTCACAATCATAAAAAAAAAGTTAATAATGTGATGAAAAAGCGTCAATATGAAATAAAATATAAATCAACAATATTTTCTAATCAAAATTAAACTATTATTTATAAGTTTTAGATAACAATATACTTTTTTTTTGAAAGATAATCTATTAGATTATCTACCTATAACGGGTGTATTTATTTGTGTTTTGTGTACATAGAAAAAAAGTAATATTGTGTATTAACTATTAATATTACCTATCTACCACCAATTATTAAATTGAGGATAAAAATTTAAATATTTCATTAAAGCGAAAGTTTTAAAAAAACAAAATAAAATTCCTTTGCATATTTTTATGACGTTTACTTCATATTGTATGGTATATTTCGATACTTTTTAGTGCATAAAAATTTGTGATTTACTTATAAGTTAGGTTGGCACCATTAAAAGCATATACCTATTGCGGTCGTTGTAGAGGGTTCGGTGCTATTATAGAGAACAAAATGAACGATTAAGAGTTTACATAGATAAAAAATCATATGCTTTTTTAAAGGGTTGAAAAGTTAACTTAATTTTGAAAAATTAAGCTTAACTTTTATTTTTATTTCTAGTTTAAAAGATAAATTATAGTTATATAACTCGCTAGACAATCGTTTATTTATAATTTTTCATATTTAAAATATTGATACAAAATAATTTATAACAGAATATTATTTATTTTTATTTTTTTAGGAGGAACACATTTGTAATTATCTGAAATTAGTCGACTCCTATGAAAACGAATTATAGTAATTTTGAAAAAGTAGTGTTTCATTCAAAATATTTCTTTATTTGTATAAAATAATAAATAAATCTTAAAGTAACAGTCACTAAATTTTAAAATGCTTATTATTTTTTTAAATATTTTGTATGATAGATATATTATAGATTTTTTAAATAGCAAAAAAAGTTTAAATATTTTTGTTGGAAAAATATTCAGGCAGTTTGTCATATTGGCACATAATTTAAATAAAATTATCGTTCAGATATTTCTTAAATAAATTCTTAAGAACATATTATTATTACATATTTTTTTAAATTTATATTTGTTTTATTTTATGGTGATTTTGTTTTGGACATAGTTCAATTACTTCCTCGACTGTAGTATTAAATAGTTTAAATATACAACACATTAGCCTACATTCTAATAAATAAATCCAAAAAATACCGCCTAAATACAAGTTTTATTAATATTTTTAGTTGATTCGTCAATAAAATACCTCAATCAATTGCTTATGCTTATATCCCGAGTTCATACCATATGATGTTTAACAGATGTAGGTATGTTAAATCAATATTAAATATCAATACGTCCTTCTAATGAAGGAATATTTTATGCTTTTATTTAAATATATATTATTTCTGCAATATGATTACATCATATTGTTATCATATAATATAAACATATATACTTATTACTTAACTAAAATGTACAATATTCAAATAATAATAATAAGAAAACCTTGAATAGTAGATTTGTTTTAAAATAATTATGTGAACTTACCGGAAAACCAACAATTATGGATTCCAATATCAGGTGCTAATTTCAGTAGTGTTTCGTGGTGTGAATGTTGAAATAAATAACCAGTAGATACACAAATACTTGATAATCCCCAACAGTAAATATGATATATAATGGTACGTACTGATATAGATGTATTTTTGTTTATTGAATTGTTGTATCTAAATTAAAAATAAATTGAAAGCATTATGAGCAGTTCTATGAATTGTTATTAGTACTTTTAGATTTTAGATGTAGTACATTATGAGTTTATGACTTAGGGCATACTGATACAATGCATAATACTATAAGCAAGAGCTTGAAATCAAAATAATATTTTTCGATATTAATTTCAATTTAAAATAACGTATTGATATTATATTTTATTATTTTTATATTATTGCACAATATCAATTACATATTTTTTTTTTTTTTTTTGATTTGATATCGCTTGTATATTGATTTTAACTTTGATTTTTGCCTACGAGCTATACTTTCAAAATCGTTGTTTCATGTTTGCACGTTTTATATACGTGTCATTACGTATAGATTTTAAATATTAAATAACCTTATGAAAACAATATTACTTATCTGTGTACAATGTTATTAATCTGCTGGCTATTGATGAACTTTAATTTTTAATTAATTTTTTTTTTTTTAATTTTTAAATTTTATTTTAAATTGATTATTTTTTCAATTGTAAAACTATTATTATTTGGGTAAAATTTATCTATTTTAAGTTTTTTCAATTTCAATTTTAAAATAAATTTAATATTTATTATTATAAAATAATTTTAATTTTGATATTACTTTTATTTCAAAGAGAATATTTAACGATTTTTTTGTTCATACATAAATTATAATTCATTTTTTCCATTGGCCATGATAAGTATTTATACACTTAAAATAACTTAACATATTATATTTTTCTAGGTATATGAAATAATTTTTATTTATACTTTATAGGTAATCAATGTCTTGTGTTTTGATGACTATTAAAGTTACTGCATATTTAAATTACTCAATGCCCTACCTCACTTTAAAACAGCCACTAGTTATATCAATAAAATTAGTACAATCAAGTATAACAAGTATTACATTTTTTTATGAAATAGCTTACTACCACAAAAATAATATTATATGTATGTCACGCAATTATTCAGGAAGTGGTATCATATAATATTATGTTACACATCACAGTTGTAAGTTCAAATAATTATGGCGATATAAAATCATTTGTAAAGTCTTAATCGTATAATTGTAACAGAAAATTACAAATTAAAGTTATTACTTAAAAGTTAAAACTAATAATTATCTTCCTACTTATTATGATGGCCACACTACTGTTTCTAAAGATAATGTTTCTTCATTCCCATAAATTTCAAACAAAACACAGAACACTTTTTTTTTCCGTTTTTAAAAAATAATTCTGTTTTAATCCTATTATTTACATATTATTGTAAGTATATACTAAAGAAAAAACTTGTATACGAAACGAAAACAAAACAATATTTTTACAGTTTCATATTGAACTATTAAAATCAAAGTTAATATTTTTTTATAAACTGCAGTTTATTTTATGAATGTCAAGTGACGACAATGAACAGTAATAATCGTTAGGTATAAGGCATAAGCATGAGATATGTCGTAATAGCGAGTATTGCACATGGTGATTTATTATGAATAACTTGTGTCCTCTTCGCACGGCCGTCATTCTTTTCAACAACACACGCCTGCTACACGATTCTACACAATTTGTGGAATCATTCTGTGTCAAACTTACCTCGACTAACAGAAAAATATTATCACCAAAATACCATTAAAAATTGTAAAATTATTATAATTTTTGAAAGTAAGTTTTTAGAGTTGAGGTAAAATTATTTATACTGTTGTTTTTATATAGTTGTGAACACCCTGGTTTAAAAGTTCATAATACCACAAAATACACATTTTTGATATGGTTTTATTTTATTATGTAAGAAGATAATTTACATACCTTAACATCCAGTAAATATCGAAGCATATTACATTTAACCAGCAAAATGTTGTCAGAAATGCAAATAATGTAAAATAACCTAAAATTATACTTTAAATTAATTAAAAATCACGTAAATAAACAATATTAATTAATAGTAAACATATGGAAGCAAAAACACAAATAACGGTAAGAAGGTTATTAGTTGTAACATTCAGTTTATTATTGTTTAGTTTTAAGAATTTTTTTATAATTCATGAAGTGTAAACTATATCTTATAATATAGTCTAATTCAAAGATTTTCAACTTTAATTGCGGTGGACTGAATATACGTGAAATACGCTTCAGCATCGCGGTTCAATATTGGTTAGGGAGGATGAAAAGGTAAAGGCAATTTAAGAAATACAAGAATACTTATACTGATGTGTAAATATCTGTACGCATCCTTACTAGAAAATATATAGCTATTGTAATTTTGTGAAAATAAACGAAAAAACGTTACCGTGATAAACGCATATTAATAATAACTTATTATTAATAAGTATAATAAATAATTAATTAAAAAAATGTATTTTATTATTTATTAGTAAATTTTTTTAATTATATGGATTTTTAAAAAAGAGGAATGCATTTTCCGCGAATTTTAATATTTTTAACTATTTATTAATGCGTGTCGTTTAAATTATTTCCTATAATACCTATACATTTTTTGGGTTAATTTAAAACTAATTAGTTAATAGTTACTTACGATATAGTACAATATAAATGTATTTTTTAGATGGAATTTATTTTCATAGAATGTTATTGCTATAAGCAAAATACAGTAAAACTAATTAAAAATATAACTTATCTTGAAAAAAAAAAAACACTAAATTATATTTTTTTGACATCTTATCGCGAAATTACATTTTGTCGGAGATATTATGACCGGAATGTTTTGACGTGTCACTCTCACGTAAGCATTAAAATAATTGCCCATCCAGCACCCCTAACGAAAGGAGTGCTCTCAACCACATTGAGCTGTTCTGGCATATCATAATATTTTAATAGATATTCGCACGCGAATGTCAACAAGTATTTTAACGTACACAATATAATAGCTCAACAGGACGGGGACAACGGCGGTGGTGTGTATACTATAATTTTATTATTTTACGGATACCGATGAATTTTTAGCCTCGGACGACATACTTTTCCGTCTAAACTTATAATGCGTAATGTAGGTATATATATATATATATATATATATATATATATATTGTACTTTTGGGCGTTCGTCAAACTAAATTTTAATTAGTTTTTTTATATATATATTTTTAGGCAATGTTTTTCAAACCGTTTTCCGTCGGACACTCCGTCCTCGGACGGTGTTTTCTCGGAAACAATTTATAAAACATTATCCGGCGCCGCGACAAAGTCAAAACGTGATACCAAACGCGACCGAGTACCGCGTAACTAGTGTACCTATACACGGCTGACTATACGTACCGAAGAGCTCGCACCACTGGCGCTCCATGGAGTCCTGCGTCCACTGGATGGCCAGCAGGCAGACGAACGACAGGAGCAGGCACGCCACGTAGCACATGACGTAGTAGCCGTGCACGTTGCGCAGGCCGGACAGCGTGGCGTACACGAGCAGCGTGAGGGCCAGGCACACGATGGACGGCACGAAACCGACCAGCATGACGAAGTACTTCCAGCTGGCGCGCGTGTCCGCGGCCGCGGCGGCCGAGGCGCACACGAACGCCTCCGGGCGGACGGTGGCCGGTTGTCCCGCGGCCGCGGCCGCGGCGTAGTACTCCACGCAGTAGTCGGCGGCCGGCAAGGTCGCGCCGTCCGCGGCCCGGTACAGGCTGCCGTCCGCGGTCAACGCGAACCCGCCGACGACGATGTCCCGCTGGACGCACCGGAGCCGCGCGTAATACGGCAGCACCGTCCTGCCGGACAGGCCCGCCGGCCGGCCGTCCGCGTCCGTATCGTAGGCGGACAGCGCGAACGGCGTCTCGCTCTTCTTGCACCCGCCCCTGTTAAATGAAAAACACGCGTTCAATGTTACACACTCGTTGGCGCGATTACGATTTTGGCGTGGTGTTAGTGGTGGTGGTGGTGGGGGGTCGAAGGGGACGGTGGTAGAGAGGTCGTCGGGCCGGGCGGTTCGAACCGTAGTCGTAGCTCACCTCGATTGTCCGAACCGATTGGGGCGTTACCCTAACGGGCGGCTGTAGTAGCCCGTAAGCGCAAAAAATATGACCCTAACGCGACTCAAAAGCGCACAAAAATCTTACAAAAGTAAAGTATATCTTATGAGATAGATAAAAGTTTGTATTGTGCGTAATATTTATCATAATATGGTATAGTTATCTTAAAATGGTTATTATCAACCTTCGCTGTGATTCGTTACGATAATATACTAAACTTCAACTGAACTCGATCGCTGTTGATGCTCGTATTTTTGATTCATAAAAATTCTATATGTTTAATTAAACATAATAATTGCGATGGTTCGGATGCCGGGAATTCCTTGTAAACGGTTACGAGTCTAGGCCCTAGGGACTAGGGACCGGATTTATATGCACAAAAAATCCGCAAAGTATGTTTCTAAAAAATGCTGTAATATGCTATAAAATATGCATACATTATTAAGTATGCATTAAAAATTGAATCGAAAACATTATATTTAAAATTATGTAAAAAAATAAAAATCATATATATATAGAATAATAAAATAATTATTAAAAAAGGTATAAAATGGTTTAAAAAGTATAAAAAATTATTTCGTCATCTTTGCCATTTAACATTTTTTATTTTCAATCTATAAAATATTAGCCCATATCATTAAAAAATTAAAACAAAAATTTATGTCATCTTATCTTTATCAATACCTAATGACCAATTGTAATTTTATTGATAATATGTGGCTTTGAAAGTGAAAATACAACGAAAAACAAAATATATGTACTATAAATAATATAATATGCTCTATAAAACTACTAACATGCATTAAATATGCATTTATTAGGTAAAACCGTTGAAATATGCAAAATACAATTAATGTTATTTTAATAAAAATGATCTAAAAACAAGGGACTATTCTCATCAGATTTCAAAAATCTTATTCCATTACATATATGCATTTTCATATAAATCCGGTCCCTAGTTATGACCCACGAGCAGTTTTACAATGTTTGATATGACACGATACGCACGTATGTGACATGTCACATCGTTATCGCCACGATACATGACATGAGATAGTAAAAACTGTCTAATGCGGAATAGCACGGGACCAATAAAAAATTCCGCTTTAAGCAGTTTTACACTTAATTGAATAAACGAAACCGCATTATAAATTCGTATAAGTTAATGATAAACAGTCATTATTACTCAAGTTTATTCATACAAGAGCTAAAATCCACACACCCGTCGACAAAAAAAAATTATTTATAACTCCTAATAAGAAACGATAAGGAACTAGCACTATCTAAAATTAAAAGAAAAATAACCAGTAATGGATGATATTGTATTAAAAACCATCGATTTTTCATAATGTTTAATTTTTAAACGAATTGTGATAATAATTATATTTTAGTGTTTTATATACTCACAACTCGTTTAAAAACCGACGAGTGATGATAGAAAATGTTTTCATTTTTAAGTTTCAAATGTTAATTTATTTTAATATTGAGTCAATAACACAAAATTGTTTTTACTGAAATTAAATTTTATTATTTTCCATATTTTTAAAACAGAGACAACACATTCAAGCGTAACGTCCTCTTAAGGTGTTATCAAGACACTGTTTTTCTCTTTTTCTCTTTGTGCGACGTATAACATAGCAAATTTGTGCTCAGCAAAACTAATTTTGTAACGTGTGACTTTAAAACTAAAACAGACTGACTTGTCATAAAAACGGGTAAAAACACTATTTGTGTTTATGCGAAGGCTTTTTTAAAATATTCAAATTCTCATGTTACATATTTATAATTAAATTTAAATTGTAATATTTTGCATAGTCATAACTTTTCATAAAAAAATTCAACGTACAAAAGGTTAATTCCTTTTAGTATTAAATAAAACAACGTAAGATTGGTTCTGCTGATTACAATGTTGCTTGTGACTTAAAAAAAAAAACACAATTAATCAGCATTATGAATTGACATTTTTTTAAATCAATTCTATATAATTTTAATAATAATTATATAAATAAATATAATTAACTGATTAACAAATTATGTTTAGTTTACAGTAGTCGGTTTAGTAAAATCGATAAAAAATAATGTTTAATTGATTTAAAAAAATATATGTAATAAATTAAATTAAAAAATGGTTATATAATTATATAGACGACTTTATTTGTTATAAAAAAAGTTCAACAGACGACGTCCATTGACGGGTCTATGTTTAGAAGGTATAGAAAAAGTCGAGTGTATCTAGGTTTGATAAGGTCACTGAAATTTATATATTAAATTGACGTTCAGTGATAAATCATTCCGTATGATAAAAAATAATTCTGAACACAGACAGATTGTCAATTTATATTTAAATAAAAATTTGTATTTTTTTTTTTTTTTTATGTCTTATGAAAAAGTTAACTTATAGTTACACTATTTCTATGAAAATGTTATAAACATAATTATTGTCGGAATGAAATGAAATTTATCATACAAGTGATTTTTTTTTATTGTAATTAAAAATTAGTTTACCTAGCGTAGTTAATTTTTTGTAAATAAAATTAAAGTTATGACAAAATTTGATAATCGAATATTTAAAATGATTTTTGTTATTTTGTAGTGATTAAAAAAATAGTAATCGTAACATTTATTAAAATTAAAAAAAATATAAATTAGTTTGTAATAAAAATGTATAAAAATATTTTTTTAAACTGAAAATATAAAATTTCTCATAACAGTTGTTTTCATAACAATCTAAATATATCATTATTATATATTAAATTGGATATTTAAACATAACAACTGTAGTAATTAAAAAAATATTATTAAAGGAAACTTGATACTTTTCACCATTACGTATTATATTAATTACTATTTATAATTTTATTTTCAAAGTATTTAGATTAATTTAAAACTATATTTATATCATGAACCTATTTACATTGTTCTGAAGTATTTACTTACGGTGGTATTGATCAATACTTTAGCTATTAATATATAATACAATAATACTTAAATAATTATTATTATGTAAATATAAAATTTGTTTTTTTAAAACATCAGTTTAACTTACAATATTATATCTACTTATAGGAAAATATATGTAATATTATGTAATAAAATATACGAGTACTTAGTAATATAAGCAGACAGACTGCTATCATGCGTATTATTGTAAAAGGTGTTGACAGGAAAAAAATCTAAAAAAAAACCCAATATTATGGTTTATTAAACTCCACGTGATAAGAGTTTGCATGATACTACTAGTGATTGAACTAGATAAAATTTTTACCTTCACGAAATCCTTCTTTATACAGTACCCGATGATGTAAATATGTTTTTTAGTTAAAAGTAAAATTTATTTCCCTCGTAAAATATTAAAAAAATGTTACTAAAAATTGTTATTTTTTTTTTTTTTTTTGTATAATATTATTTTTATCTAGTTGTTATTCAATTCAATTTAAATAAAAGTTGAATTATAACAATGATTTTATGTTATTTTAAATTGTGGGGTGTAATAGATTCCGGCACACTAAAGATGCAAAAAAACGTCTACACGCTAATGACGGGTTAAGTTAATACACCCATTGTTCTGCTTAGAATCTAAAAGTCAAAATTTTCAAAAGATCTTATAAATAGTCTAAAACGAGTATAATATATTATATTTTTAAATGTTCAGAAAATACTAATATAATTTATTTTTTTGTTAAAATTAATATTTCTTCAGTTATTTTGCTAAAATTTAGTTTTTATAAATTTTATTTTTTACTTTCCTTGATAATTTTAAAAAGTACTAGAGTTTTTTATTTTAAACATCTTAAAAGTGCAAAATAGATACAATTTACTACTTTAAAATTCCCCTAAAAGTTAAGGACAAAGCATTATAAAACGTAAAAATGTATAAACTACTGCATTATACTATAAAATAAACACACACATACATAATAAAAAATAACTCATCGTTGTAAAATCAATACATTCATCGTTTCGCTTAGAGCCTAAAATGAGACAACAAGTATATTGGAAATACTATTAAGAAGTGATTACTAGGCAGTCGTCAAAGTTGTATCCAAGTGCAGTGTGAAAATGCATCTGAATGAAATTAAAAACCATTAACATTATCATTTATATCCTGTTGTACTTCGTTCGGTTACGTATTGCTAGAAAGAACACACGCGACCATTTTATAGATTATAAGTAATGTTATGGTATTTTTATGATTTAATTATTTTGAGTTCATGTTGTATTTTGTTAAAATTTCAAACTAAAATATTATTCTTAACTATACAAACTTATATTTTATTATATTATATTATGATACAATGATACCTACTCAAATATAATTCAAAATACTTACAAGTTACAAGTTAGTTTCCACCAAGTATCAATACCATTTTCCTCAAAATATTTCGCCATGAAAATTAAATCAAAGTATAATTTCTACTAAAAAATTTTTCTAAAAATATAGTTACAAATTAGGTATCAGTTTTAATTAATTTATTACATATTGATATTAATATTTTATAATTGCTACATTTTTCAATATGTATATAATAA